GCTCCTGGATGTTTACTAGAAATCCTTCTGGGATGTTTAGTATAGATGATCCTGGATGTTTACTAGAAATCCTTCTGGGATGTTTAGTATAGATGATCCTGGATGTTTACTAGAAATCCTTCTGGGATGTTTAGTATAGATGATCCTGGATGTTTACTAGAAATCCTTCTGGGATGTTTGGTATAGATGATCCTGGATGTTTACTAGAAATCCTCCTGAAGAATCGTGTAAATTACTTTTAGTAGAAATTTTTGAAATCGTAATAGATTTAAAACATTTTTAAGGTATTAAATATTCTAGTTGGATGAAAAAAGTACTTTACGATTAACTTTAATTGTGTATTTTAATTAATACTTAGAAATTAAGAATTTTATCAGACGGCCCATTTCTTCTCTGAATGACAACTTTTTTTTGTATTTTAACTTTATGATTTAAGAGGTTCTAAGAAATACTTAAAGTCCCCCCGATGAGACAGCGATGAGTAAACGAACTTCAAATGCTAAAATTTGGGGTTCAGTTTCACAGCCGTAAACACAGCAGGCAGTTCCACGTGGCTTTACTCTAATGTAGTCCCCCAGTGGCACAGAGGTATGTCTGCGGGCTTACAATGCTAGAATCCGGGTTTCGATAACCGTGAAGGGCAGAGCACAGATATCCCATTGTGTAGCTTTGTGCTTAATTACAAACAAACAAACAGTTGTTCTAAAGTAAACAAATTTAATTTAAAATGTTAAAAAATGGCGTTAGTTAACTTTTAAATATATACCAATCAATTAAAAAGGTTGAATATGGAAATAAAGCTTTAGACTGGTTTACTCTTCTTCTTTATTCTCCTGAAAAATAATAGTCAACTATTCGAAAGCGCTCGAGTTTTGGGTTTTTTTTTGAAATTCATTTTACCTCTTGTACTGACTCTTTTATCAGAACTAAAATTTTATTATCATAAAAATGCGAAAGTCTTTACAAAAAGAACACTGTAAGCAAAGACTCGCATATTATTGGTATCTTGGCTCAATATATTTTCATACTCATTAGTCTACCCCACACATACACACACAGTGGCACAGCGGTGCATGTCTGCGGACTTACAACGCTAGAAATTGGGTTTCGATACCCGTGGTAGACAGAGCACAGATAGCTCATTGTGTAACTTTGTGCTTAACTACAAACAAACAGTTATTTATAAACAAATAAAAGGTTTATATATTTAAGTTTCAATTTTGTCTGTATTTTTGTTGCTCGGTGCAAAGCTACACATTGGTTTATCTGTATTGTGGCCACCACAGGTACCGAGACATTGTATGTAGCGTTAAAAGCCTTCAGACTTACCGCTGAACCACTGGAGGCTGAGGGGAGGATAAAGAAATATAATTTTGAGAAGCAATTTCAAAATTAATGTTCACTACTCGTCATGAGCAGTGCTTGCCCCCTCTAATTCTAGAAGCCGATATATTTTGCTATGTCTGAACTAAAAAATACAACATTAACCAAAGTGGCTCTGAAGTAAAATATATTGAAGTGATTATCCCTAGGGCAGAAGATCAGTTAATTTCAGACTGCTCGTTTTTCATTCCATTGTAAGTTTTTGACAATATAAATCATTCCGCTGAGGAAGCCATCGCATTAATAAAAACAACGTATTCTAGAGTTTTAATCTTCTAGAACTTCGATCTTAATATATCTCCAACTTGTCTGTTCAAGTCGAGTCACTAATATATGAGAACGTTTGTTTCTTTGTTGTAAATTTCGCGCAAAACTACTCGAGGACTTACTTACTGCGCTAGCCGTCCTTAACTTTGAACTGATAAACTAAAAGAAAGGCATCTAGTCAACATCAACTACCGTCAACTCTTGGGTTGCTCTTTACTAACGAACAGTGGGACTGACAGTCACATTTTAACGCTCCCACGGCTGAAAAGGCGAGTACATTTGGGGACGGGATTCGAACCCGCGACCCCCCAATTGGGAATCGAGTGCCCTAACTACCATTGGAATAACTCATATTTATTGACTACTGAGCTACAGAGCTGGACAGACAACACAAATGTTGCTTTCTCAGAACTTGAACTACGGAAAATGACAGTTTCTAGGCGCATTAAAGCACCTTTGTCAAGATCGTTACTGTTACCCCCCGTTTTTTAATTATACAGTAGATCTGATGTTGTGCTCTCAAAAGTCAGTTCAGTACAAACTTACTTCCATTGCTTAAGTCAAACCGGACGCAACAAAATTAGACTCTCTTATCCGACTATTCAGCTTCTACTTGATGATCTGGACAATGATAATCTGTTTTATCTTTGGTGGGTTTGGACATTCCACAATTGGTCCAGGAAATGGATTAACTTCATCCGAATATTTCCGTCAACTTATACCTATTTTACCATCAAGTTTGTACAAGAGATTTTTTTTCTAAGTTCATATACAGGAAACATTATAAACTATGACGACTCAAGGGCGTCTAAATGATCTGTTGTTGATCGTCACTGAGGCGAAACGCGCACACACTAAGAACTGTGACGACTCGAGAGCGTCTAAATGATCTGCTGGTGATCGTAACTGGGGCAAAACGTGCAAAATCTGTTGGAAAGAAACCCCTCACTGGCTCAGCAGCATTTACGCAGACTTATGACGCTAAAAATCTGGGTTCGATACCTGTGATGGACACAGCATAGATAGCCCATTGTGCAGCTTTGCGTTTAACAACAAGTGTTGTTAATTATTTTTAGAACAATTTCTCTGATGCCAGGTGCTGATGTTATATTCTTTTTATCTAAGCACTTTACACACTTTATTATGGCAATAAGCAGAACTACGTGAAAAAAATATCAGTTAACTCTATTTTTTGTGAACTAAACTTGCATAGAGATGATCAGGTTTCCATGGCAATAAGCAGGACTGCATAAAAATGTTCTGTTAATTAATTTTTTTAACTAAGTGTACATAGAGATAATCAGGTTTCCATGGTGAATAAATGAGATGATTATGTTTTATCTATGATTTGTGCAAACTTTATTTCATCGACCAAAACTGAAGTGTTTTGCAAACTGTAATTTTATGCATGAAATGATGTACACGTGTGGTATGAAAATGTCTTCCTTTCCGAATGAGGTTAAGAACTTATTGAACGTATAGTTATGTATATAAATTAGGTTACGTATATTTACAGCCTTATTTAATGTTTATAGTTATTTCGCAAGTAAAGTAGTTTTCAGTACTGTTTCACTGCTTCAAGTTCTGTTTTCGGATTATTTTGTTTCTCCACGTTTAAGTCTGCGTGAACAGCCACAGGTAACGCGCATGAGCAGTTATTTTAGTCCATCAATAACTCGTAGTCTATCGTTGAGCGTGCTCTGGGAGCTCCTTTTTCATTTTTCTCTTTTATTTCTGACTGCAGAACAACAATTTTAACGAAGATATATTATTTTTATAACGTACGTACGGCAAGTTTGTTTATTCTTAAGCACCAAGCTACACAATAGGCTATCTGTTCTGGGCGCGCTTCGAGTACCGAAACACGGGTTTTAGCGGCACGAACCCTCAGACTTATCGCTGAATCAATGGGGACATACGGTAAAACCTTTAGTAATATATACATATTTCTCCAAAAGTACCTATACATTGTAGGATGGGTGTATTTGTGTACCAGAGTGTTGTGTACCCTACTAATGGCTGGAGACGGCTTGAATGGGTAATGAAGAAAAACTTTAATATAACAGTTTAATATATAAGTTTTTCTTCATTACCCATTCAAGCCGTCTCCAGCCATTATTAGTCTCAAAGTGGGTTCCTCGTCATCGAACCTACCCTACTGTTGAGTGTAATTTTCCCTAGTTACGTACATTCAGTAGCATATACATCAGTCTGTATGATACCTGAGTCAGTGACATTTGAACCCTTTTAACCTTCGTAAGTTTAAATTAAGCCTTCCTGTCTATTTGAGCCGTTTTAAACATTGTTAGTTAAAATGACACTTGAATTATTTTAGACACTGTGAACTGAAATCTCGCCGACTATTTGAGTCGTTTTTGTCGTTCACAACTCACACATTTTCTAGCTTTGACATGCTGGTGGGTTTTGATACGTTTTTAGTTATATTTCAGAGTTGCTATGTCACCAGGTAATAGTAATCATTTAACCTCCCGCTGTGATTTCTTATTGATACTGTACTGTATCTTTGATAATCGTGGAGTCCAGTTCACAGAGATAAACTTGTTTTGATGTACTTTCTTTTTATGGTATCGGACTTGTAATTTCAATGTCTAGCAAACTTTCTGTTTCCATGAGATCGCTGTATTAGAAAGTGGAGTTTGTAAGTTGGAGACCTAGTTTCAAATGACATACGATAGGTAAGCTTAACAGACTGTGTAACAGTACATGATTTTACATTTACAGACTGTGTAACAGTGCATGATTTCATCTTCATGGACTGTGTGAGAATGCATGATTTTACATTTACAGACTGTGTAACAGTGCATGATTTTACATTTACAGACTGTGTAACAGTGCATGATTTCATTTTCATGGACTGTGTGAGAATGCATGATTTTACATTTACAGACTGTGTAACAGTGCATGATTTTATTTACAGACTGTGTGACAGTGCATGATTTTACCATAACAGACTGTGTAAGAATGCATTATTATATCTTTACAGATTGTGTAACAGTGCATGATTTTAATTTACAGACTGTGTAACAGTGCATGATTTTATCTTTATAGACTGTGTGAGAATACATGATTTTACATTTAGAGACTGTGTGAGAATACATGATTTTACATTTACAGACTGCATGATTTTACCATAACAGACTGTGTAAGAATGCATGATTTTACATTTACAGACTGTGTAACAGTGCATGATTTTAACTTTATAGACTGTGAGAGAATGCATGATTTTACCTTTACAGACTATGTAACAGTGCATGATTTTACCTTTACAGGCTGTGTAAGAAATGCATGATTATATCTTTACAGACTGTGTAACAGTGCATGATTTTAATTTACAGACTGTGTAACAGTGCATGATTTTACCTTAACAGACTGTGTGGGAATGCATGATTTTACATTTACAGTCTGTGGAGAATACATGATTTTACATTTACAGAGTGCATGATTTTACCATAACAGACTGTGTAAGAATGCATGATTTTACATTTACAGACTGTGTAACAGTGCATGATTTTACCTTCACAGACTGTGTAACAGAGCAAGATTTTACCTTTACACACTGCGTAAGAATTCATGATTTCATGTTTACAGAGATAAACTTGTTTTGATGTACTTTCTTTTTATGGTATCGAACTTGTAATTTCAATGTCTACCAAACTTTCTGTTTCCACGAGATCGTTGTATTTGAAGGTGGAGTTTGTAAGTTGGAGACCTAGTTTCAAGTGACATACGATAGGTAAGCTTAACGCCAAATTCAAGCTCAATTTCTTTTCTTTAGAAAACCTTAAAGACAAAAGCTATATGTTGTTGACATCATAAAGTTCAGAACCCAGTAAGATTTAAGTGTAAAACCGATTTATTAATAATTTCTAAAATACGAGCTACAAATCAGTGATACCGTCAAGGAAAAATTCTAAATTTCTCATCTAAACTTTCAGCAATTATGATTTATATTTTTTACCTGTCCATATAGACTATATTGGTGTAAACTATATTTTTAATGTTTTAATTTAGATGTTAATGACTCACGTTAAGATCAAAGAGTTTAACATGATAGGTGTATAATGGCTAGAAATATGACATCGGAGTTGCTAGTAATTTCCGAGGGTAAATTATATATACGAGGATCAGCGAAGTATCGGTAAGTTAGTTAAGAAAATAATTAATAAGACATTATATTTGTTTCTAGCAGGTCGATTGAATCAGTGTGTGTGGTACAAGTAAGTTTATTCTTTACGTTAGTGTAGTGCAGTTAGCGTCATTTGTAAATGTGCCCTACAAGTTCCACAGTATGCAAACTTGTACGAAACGTTAAAGGAGGAAATAAAATATTTTTTTATCATCCTGTGGACTGGACAGCGAATTATTTCCAACAGATAATTGAAAATAACCCACCTAGCGGAAGTGCAACACTATAACAATTTGAATTAGTTTTTACTTAAGGAATTATTTTAGCATTCATTGTTCATAATGTATTGTTTATCTGTTCAAATAGAATACATATTATTTCATTTTAAAATTTTAGCGAGTGTCGCTCACAATGTATTGTTTATCTATTGGGATAGAGTACATTGTTTAGATTTACGTAAGGACTTATTTAAGCAAGTGTTATTTGTAATGTATTATTAGTCCAGATAGAATATATTTACTCTCATTTAAGGACATGATGAACAACAAAATTATTATTTCTTTGGTCTACACGTATAGGTAATAATAACACAATATTTACAATAAATACTCGTGTAATCTTAAGGTAGCCAAATGCCTCGTCATCTAATTTGTGATGCGCATGAATGGATTAACGAGATTCCCACTGTCCCTATCTACTGTCTAGCGAAACCACAGCCAAGGGAACAGGCTTGGAGAAATAAGCACCAATCAACTGCAAGCAGAAACATCGCAAAATGTATTTTATTTAGGTTAAGTGGATGAGAATGATATATGTATTTATTTGTGCACTGGCCTTAAATGCTCTGTTGAAATAGATGGCAAATTCATGATCATTAAAATTATAGGCAATGCTAAAAAAAATCAAAACATGGAAAAGGCGCTTACAAGTAACGAAATGAATGAACACTATTAATAGCACGTAATCATGCACGAAATTTCATGTTTTTTATTTAAACTTTCCTGTGAAACTTTGATATCTCTATACTAATAATCTATGTATTTCAATTAGGAAAAACAGGGGTGAGACATGGTTGTTCTTGCTCCGGGGTCCAGGGCACCGGTTGGCCCTGTGGTAGAGCTCTGTATTTCGAAGATTGCGAGCCGGGTTCGAATCCGTGCGATGCCACAAAATATTTCCAATCACTTTGAGTGGATATAAGTGGGAAGATAACTCTATTTGGTTGCCTGCTCTCTGTCCAATAGTTCAAAATTAGAAACAGCGGCAGATAGACTTTGTAGCTTTGCCATAAATACAAATACAACTCTCCTCCTCGGTTTATCATTGTCAGTCAATTATTAGAAAAATTGGAACTGACACAAAGTTGGGAGATAAAAGGGATAAAATAAGATCACTGTAAAAAACACAACGTTCAAATGGAAACACATTTTTCGCATCTATTACAAATTGGCGTTTTTATATTCTATTCTTAAAGTAACATTGTGCTTGTTGAACGAATTTTCTGTTGTTTTATGATAATGTTTTGTAGATTCAATTTTATGCTGACAATGGAAAGCTGCACTGCTTGTAACAAGCCTAATCATCATTACCTTCTGATCAAAGCAAGCTAATTGCGTAACTTAATATAGCTAATTTGATATAATGGAGTAATTTCATAAAAACGAAACTCATAATAATTATCTTTTGTTCTTACTTTTATTTAATTACGTAATGCAGACTGGTATATAATGTACACAGTAATGAATAAATGAAACGGCTAAGAATCTTTCAAAGTTTTTGTTTGCTCATCGGCTTTAGGCCTGTATCAAGAGGATACATCGTTATATTTTAAGAATTAACCCCGAAACAAGAGTGTATCTTGGATGTGATCATTCCTATTAATTACATAGCCCGTGGTACATAGATAAACAATATAATACAAACAATCATACTTCTCATAAGACATTAGTATTAAGGTTAATACATTTCTAAACACTTAGGAATCGTCAAGAATTAGAATAGTTTATAATAATAGTATTCCAACCACATCATATTCACCATAACCATTGCCGACGACACATTTCGCTCAGTCCTGAGTTCTTCAGGTGGTCTGGAATACAACAAACACAGTAGTGTTCGGAACACTATTTATAGAAGCCAAATGATACATAAAAGATATAATAGGCCTGATACTAATGTCTTAGGACAAGTATAATTGTAATCATTCTTCGCCAGCTTGGAAAAGACGTACACAGAAGAACAATATAATACAAACCTCCGTTATGTTTGCTCATTATTGTAGAACAAAAGAAAATTTTTTTCAATAGTAAAGGTAAAGCTTAAACTGGAAACTTTGATAAAATTAGACAAACTTATTATCTACAAGAAATTTGAATAAGAGAGGAACCATCCGTTATATTTTTTCATTATTGGTATATATTTTTCTATAAGATATTATTTCTTGATTTTCCGATCCAAGAAATCTTTGGATAGTGTGAGAATTTTAAACATTATTGGACAATCCGGTTTTTCGTATACCAAGCTAAAATGTTCAGCTGCCGTTTAGGCCTAGCCTGATCTGGTAATTAGAACATTTGATTCGCAATCTTTGGGTAGCGAGTTCGAATCCCGTTAATGAACATATACGCCCTTTCTGCTGTAAGGCGTTATAATGGGACGATGAATCAAGAATAGTCCAAGTAGTTTATTACTTCAAAATTAGGGACAGCTAGACATCAAGTACTTGTGTGCTAAATTCAATAAACAAACAGTTACTATATCTGTTTCCATCTCTCCTTCTTTATGTCCCAAATATGGTCATTGATCTTCGTGGAAGGGTTTCCCACCTTCTCCAATAATGATTACCATTCTAATTGGTATAAAATAGTCTTTGTTAAACGCTTTCCTGTCATATTTGAAGAGTTAACAAAACATTACATATTTGCTGTGTGTATTGGGCATGAAACCAGATCTAGTATCAGCCTGGTTTAAAGTTATGCTTGGTTTCTGTATGATTCTAATTGGGAGACCGTTGAAACTTAGTTAGTTTCTGATATTTGGTATCATCTATGTAATTGAGGAATTCTTTGTCCTGTGGTTTTGGTTTTCCTGTTTTTAGATAAATTATTCTACAGAACGCTTACCAGATATAATATATACAGATATATGCATAATGCTCATTTTCAACAATTGCAAGAGAAACCAAAGATGCCGTGATGAAACATGCTCAGCAAATAAGAAGAAAAATCTGTTCAAATATATCTTATTCTATCCAACTTGCCTTAAAGAGATCCTCCTTAACCATATAATCTACCTGTGTCTGAATTCAAATGTACCTTGACTGTTCCCTTCCAGCTTGCCCTAAAGAGATCATTTTTTTCTTTCCTTTGAAAAAAATGTATCCGAAACTTAGAAAGCCATTTTCGTTTCAATAAACACAGTTTTTTTCATGATGAGTTAAAACGTGCTTCTTTAAGCCTTAATATGTTATTTATAAAGCAGCCGTCAAGTTTTGAAAGTTTTGGAAACGGACGGGTGTGTTCGCATAGTTGAACGTCGAGATAAACTGTATAAGTCGACGTAAAACACAAAATAATATTTTAAGTCTGTAGAATAAGAGGAAACGTTTTGTTTTACACGATATTTCAACATCCATTATAAACGGATGCCATTATCAACCTCTCTAGATGCAAAGCTATTATTTTGAGAACGATTGGCTTCAATGATGTTTCGTGAAGTAGAACAAAGACTCGGAGACGACAATTAATAAGTGAATGAATAAATATATAATAATCCAAATCCGAGATGTCTATTATGAAACTTTAAGTTAAGAAAAAAAAATTTGACCGTCCTTGTCATTTTTCACTAACTCATAACAAACCAGCAATCGACAAATTTATCTTTTTTTTTAAGTTAAAATCTCATAACAGAAATCTAGGGTTTGGTTTTCTTACTAGCTTCCCTCATTTTTGTATAATGCTGATTTGATTGCCCATATGTACTGGTATGGCCAGGTGGTTCGGATGCTCGACTCGCAATCTGCGGGTCGCGGATTCGAATCCCCGTCCGACCCTTTCAGCTGTAGGGACATTATAATGTGACGGTCATTCCCACTGTTGGTTGGTGAGAGAGCGTAGTCCAAGAGTTGGCGGTGGGTGGTGATGACTAACTGCGTTTCCCTGCTGTTAAATTAGGCTAGCGCAGCTTGTGTAGCTTTGCGCGAAATTCAAACCAATTGATCGCTTATATACAACTGGTGTAATTTATAGTATTAGAACTATATGCTTACGTATATATACATATACATATGCCTGATTACATATCTACTACATTATTATTTGGCTTATTTTCTAACAGTTAAATAGGCTTATTAATTGTAAAACTATAGACAGCACATCTTTGCTATTGTTGTTGCTATGCGATTGGTATTTCGAACTGTTACTGAACCAACGTCCTCTACTTCTCAAAGGCTCAGGTAATTTAAATAAAAGTTTATGTAAGAATGGGAAAACTAAAATAACGTGTAGATTTTCCAGTATAAAAATACCCAGTTTGTGTTTGTCTTGAAAATTCGCGCGCACCTTACTATCTAAATGCGCATGCACGCTCACTTCATTTCAACGGATGTAAACAAAAGGCGGATGTAAATATACTATAGTAGAGATTTTGTAAAACAACGTATTAAAAACTTATCAGTTATTAAAAAGGTCTAACGTTAGGTCGTTGAGTAGCATTATAAGTTTATTTATTGAAAATATTATATGCGGTAAGGTTAAACTAAAACAAAAAAAAACGAACAGTTACAATGTTAATTTATATCTTTATTGAATATAGGCCGTACTTAATAAAGGCTTAATGTTAGGCCAAAGACAAGAGGACTTATAGATTTCGGTAACTGCGATTATAATTATTTTGTATTATTCTAGAAATCCTGTATTTAAAGAAGTACTGTTGCAATAAAGATACTAATTTGACTGCAAATGTTTTGCAGGTCTCTGTTAGTCATTTAATATCTGGATTATGAACTTAAAGACATATTTCTTATTTCAGTCTGTTTTGAGCAAAACGATGTTTTAAGCTAAAAGCTTGAACAGACATTTCTAAATTCAAATTTATGAATGAAGTTTGGTAAAACTATCAAAGAAAGAAGTGATTTGTTTCTGGTTATATTAAACTACTAAGCTTGAGAGTAGTATAAGTTTTAATTCTAAAATAACAAATTACATGTTTTGATTAAATGTTACGGTTTAAACATAGAAAGCTGAGAAAACAATGGAAACCAGTAGGCCTAACACTTTCATTAGAGATCACGTAGACAAAATATTATTATCATCATTATTATTTTACACACTCTTCATAAACTGTACCTCTCGATATTTTTCTAATTTGAGATCCTTTAGAAAATTCCTCCTGCGTATATAAACATCGTTTCAGTTGACATTTTGTCTCATCATTCAGCCCAGCTAATGAGTTCTAGTATTGTATGAAAGGCCTCATGGGTAGTGAAGGATAAAGGATAGATATATTTTTACTTACCTTCGGTTTGAAATTAGAGATGGATAAATTGAGATGAGTGAAAACAAATCTGCTATTTAAATAATTCTTTCAAAAATGTTAGGCGTATTGCTTACAACTTTTGTTATTATTAATATTATTATTTTGTACGAACGTCTGGTAAAAACACAATACTGTTACGTCTCCGTTTGTTAATTGATTTTTCGTAACTTCGTTCCGACGAAACTTAAACGACACAAGTTCTTTCTTA